GGAAAGAGAGAAAACTTTTCCCAGAGAGGGGTGTTTCCACTATAGAAGATAAAACTTAGGGTTCAGATGGAGGAGGGAAAGAGAACCCAGAATGGGAATCATGACATAAACTCTTTTGTCAGAGGGTCAAGAACTGAAAAATCATGTGTGACGTGACCAAAGATTCTTTCAACCAAGCCAAATCCTAGACTAGTCCTTAAAACCCTAACCAGATTCACCAAACCTCATTTCCTAAAAGGAGGGGAAAATCAACCAAACAAATTTGAACTTTGAGACCGTTTTGACAACTTTGGAATTTTGTTTAACCGAAGAGGAAAGAGTTTTAACTCTTATTTCCACTTGATTAAGTGTAATTATCCAAATCATGCTATTGCTAATATAAAACCCTAATTAGGGTTATGTTTGACCTAGGTTTAGATCTAGCACGTGGGTGCAAGTGAGATTTGGGGAAACCTCGGTCCTGTATTTGGACTGGAAAATCTTAATCTGGGTGCGGCCTTTTTTGAGCTGATTTGGTTGTAACGTTTTAAAAAAGAGATTTTTTTGCATAATCTGATATAAACCAGTGTTACAAACCCTAAAATTACTTTCTTTTTTTCCCCCTTGTATATTTATTTCAATTTGACATATTGACAAATTTCTTGAACTTGTACTGTGGTTTGTTGATGTCTAACTGACGTGTTATTAAGGAAGTGTCAAAGAGATGGAAGGATTGGGCTAATTGAAGCATGACAGCTTTTGCTTTAGGCCTTCTTAGCTTAGCCCCATAGATGTGTAAGAGAGAGAAGGTGAGAATAATGGAAGGGGAAAGAGGAAAAAGGAAACAGAAAATTAACAAGAATGGAGAGGGAGTTGGAGGAAGTGGCTGATCTCACAGACCTGCATAACTTCCCAAATCCTTACCTGTTGCTACTTACAACCATAGTGCTTCTATTTCTATCTATTGCACCAGATCTATGTATCCAACAAACCAAAAATTAGGAAAATTATCATAAGCAGAAAAGAAAAGAAAAAGGAAGAGAAAAAAGAACAGAAAAGCTCATAGAAGGAAAAGGCCAAAATAGAAGTAAAGAAAGACAAGTGATCCTTGCTTGCAGGAAACAGAGATAGAAAGAGGAAAAACTCTATCTCAACTGCATCACAAAAATGATTATGTTCTTTGTGCTCAAATCCTTCAAAAGATCTATTTACAGAAGCAAAAATCTAAATCCAAAGCTCCCAAAGAGAAACAAAATTGATCATTTCTAAAATTAACAAAAGCCATGGCTACAAAAACTCAAAAGGACTTGTGAGAAGGGAAGAAAGAAATTAAGAAGAAAACTCATAAAGCTAAGTAAATACCTGTTATTAGCATATTCATAGAGGCGACCACGGCTAGAGAAGACTATTAAAGCAACCTCTGCATCACAAAGCACAGATAACTCATATGCTTTCTTGAGCAACCCATTTCTACGCTTGCAGAAGGTGACTTGGCGATTGGTGGTGTTCTCAATCCTCTTGATCTCAATCTTCCCCCTTCCCATCTTCCTCTGTGGAGAAACTGACATGGATGGGTTTGGAAAAGCCATGTTTGCAACCTGAATCAACTCAAACATAATCAAAATTTTAACTCATAATAGTACACGAGTTCTATCTTCCATGTATAAATAATAAACAATAAGAGTAAAAAAAACATAAACAAATTTTGGTCTTTAGAACTAGTTTTGTCTGATTAGGGAGAATATGAAAAGGAAAGTTGGAATCTCATTACAAATTACACCTCACTGTCCAACATTCACATCATTAGTTGAAAATTTTGATTTGAGCTAGTAACATAGAGTGCAATCTAGTGTTGCCAAATCTGGGTTTGGAGTGAAAAGGTGTTTGATTGAGCCAAAAGAGTTGAAGCACTGAGGATGGATTTCAAATTATGTTTCAATATTTAGCAAACTAACCTGGTGAGGAAACAAAGGGAGAATATAATTAAGGATGCAACAGATGTTTCAGCCCTTGCAAAAAAAAATTTCTTTCTTTCCCTCTTCTCTTCCACTTAGCAGAACAGGAAGGAGATATCAGAAAAATAAAAGCAAAGTGGCCAAGAATTGGGTATTTATAAAGTGAAAAAACGACCTTTCATCCATCGTGGTTTATGCATCAGAAACTATACTCATCTGCCATCTTTATATTTTATTTACTTTTCTTTGTCCTTTTCCTTTTTCTATATTTTTTTATCCCTCTACCCCCACTGGTTTACTGGTGATGAATCAAATAGGAAGGATAAACATGGAATAACATTTAGAATTAAGCTTCATTAAGTTTAAATGGAAAAGAAAATAAGAAAATCAGGATCGAAGTAGGGCATATAAGAGAGAGACAGAGACGAAGTTCTGATAACGATATTAATGGGTGAAAAGGACATTGGGCTAAGATGTAAGTAAAATATATACCAAACGTCAATGAGAGAAAATAAAGTTTTATGTACAGATTAATAAAAAATATATATATATTTATATAGAAAGAGAGATAATATTTTTTTTACCCTAAAAGTAAAATGAATAAACACTATCATACAAGTATATACAAATGATAATATTACGTTTAATTTGTTTTAATTTGAATCATCTATTTCAGTTACAAAGTTGAGATTGGTTCCTTTTGCGTTTTCATTTCTCACTTGAAATGCCTTTGTCTCAATTGGATTAGCTGTCCTGCCCCCCTACCTAGCAACATTTTGGATCATTTCAACTTCATTCCTGGACCAATTCAACACTACGAACAGGTTGTATATTGGCGTTCCATATGGTTGGCAACTACTTGGACAGTGTGGAGGACAAGGAATCGTTACAGGTTCAATGATAATAGCTTCTCTTTTGAAAGATTGGTGAACGAGATTCAGGTTTACAGTTGGAGGTGGCTGTCATCATTTGCAAAGACATTCCGGTATACTTTTTCACAATGGTGCTATAATCCTGGTTTATGCATGTCTAGGTATATTCACTAAAATAATCTACATGTTTGGTATGTAGTTTCCTTGACATAATTATTCCTTTCACGAGACTGGTATGTTTGGTTATGTTGTATATTATTTTATTTCTCTTTTGGTACCACTGGTACCTTTTTAATGAAAATTTTCTTAGCCGTTCAAAAAAAAAATGTATAAAAGGATAGAAAATACAAATAATTATATAATGTTAAACTAAATTTGTTTTTATACAAATATAAAAGTTCAGTTTTGGTTGTGATTTTTTTTTTCATTAAAACATTTCTAGCCGATAACGAAAGACTAAGATTTTGTCTCTTCTAACAAAAACAATGTGTTTGACAAATTATTGGACAAATTTATAATTAAGTTAATTTGACTAAAATAAAATAAACTTATTTAATAAGCTTATGTTAGTAGTTTTTAGTAAATTATTGGACAAATTTATAAGTTAATTTTACTAAAATAAAATAAACTTATTTGATAAGGTTAATTATGTTAGTAGTTTTTAGTTTATTTCATAAATAGTAGCTAATGAAAATAGGTTGGCTCATATGCTACTATTTTTCATTTTTATCTGATTAATTTATTTGAAATTGTTTTTATCTTAAATAATTAAATATATCATTTTATAATATTTTACATTTATCAACTAGCCTATCACTAATCTTATTAAATATTTTCGATAGCTTAAAAGTTTTTCACTTTTCAGTTAATTTATAAGCTATTATTATTAAGTACATAAAAACCTTTCTCCACATGCACACTCAGATAATTGAAATTTATTAATGTATTTAAGAAATTTAACTATCTACTAATTGTATCACACTTTATTAGTTTTCTGTCATAATTGTTAATTCTTAGTACTCCTTCGGAACTCAATTATAAGAAAATTTAACTGCCTTATACGCTAATTTAGAAAGTTAATTAACATCAATTAATTTTACTAATTTCAACTGAAAGTTATTTTTTTTCTTATACTACCCTTTGTTGAATCTTAATATCAAAAATAAGAAATATAATTAAAAATAGAATCTCAATCAAAGGAATTTCAGAAAAAAATATCAGAATAAAAGTAATTAAGATGTATTTATATTTAGGTCCGCAATCCGTAAATTTTTTTTATGAGTATGGAGAGAGTGTCATGGATTAGTTAATATTTAGGGTTTAGTTAATATAAGAATTAAATGGAATAAGAAACACTAGTTAAAGTTAGAAATTGAGATTTCTCTCTCATATAATGCATATAACAGAGAAAGTGATTGATGGTCAATTTCACTATCCAATATATATCTCATACATAGAACGAGATAACTCATTCTCTTCTTACCTCGATAAACACTAGACCTAAGATGATCTCCAACAATCTTTGGCTCTCAGTTCTTCATAATACAAAATAAAAAAAAGAAGTAAGAAACGTGAAAATGAAATTGACGTAACCCTTTTTAATTCATTAATCCACATTTAACCCTATAGTAAACACAATTATAACACAGTTACACTTCCCTTCCCCCCAAATATTAAAATAAAACATATTTAATTATAAACATATATTTCATATAAATAAAATGCACTTATTAAAACTATCATAATTAATTATTAAAAACTATAATTAATTTATTAGTGAAAATCTTGAAATGTTACAACTCTTTCCTCTTTTTAGAATTTCGTCTCCAAAATTATCTAAAGTGAGCAAATAAGGATAAGACTTCCACATTTGACTCTCCAGCTCTCAAGTGACACTCTCATTAGTATTTCCTTCCCAAATGACTTTAATTAAAGAAATTTTCTTACCTCTTATCTGTTAAAACCTCTTATCCTCAATTAAAGGAATAATTTCATGGGTGAGGTTATCCTTTAACTAAATGTTGTTGGATTCAAGAACATGAAAAAGATCATATACATATTTTCTAAGTTGAGAAGCAATGAAGATACTATACAAATTTGAAAGAGACAATTGTAAGACTATTTGATTTTAATTCTTATAAAATGTTTTTCTTTCATTTTCGTCTATACAAAACCTAAAGTTACTAATAATTTTAGCCTTTACTATTTATTTTAAGGTAGATAAATAATATTTATTTTAATAATTTATAATTTTGTTAAAGATGTTGTACACTAACATGATATCAAATACTATTGTGATTATCATTAGAAATGATCCCTTCCCTATATGAAAAATACAAAAGTAGTTAAAAATAATCATATAATAATAAAACTAACAACAATTTCAATTTAAAATTATAATAATAAAATATAAGTAGCTCATTTTACGGCAATAAAAACATGTTTAAGTTGTATAATAAAGAATTTAAAATTCGTATCTAACTATCATCTATAATTTCTGATTAATAGTTGATATAAAATCTTGACAATACATAAAATATTAAACTCCTATTATATAACGAACATGCTAAGTAATTAAGGAAGCATGTAACTATATATTTCTAACTCATTCTTCGCTTCCAAACAAATCCAACAGCTCATATGAATTAATAGAATTATCGGTGTGTATTTTTTTGTTTAGGATACCCCGTATTTCATTTTTTTTTATAAAATAAATCGAACTTAATTTTAAAGAGTTTGCAAAAGCACTGATATTTTTCATCATTCGTAATATAATTACGAGCGACTACTTTTCCTTTTCAGTGACATACAATGTTTAAAAATTGATTAGTTACCCTAAAAAATTGATAATTATATTGATTACTTAATTCATTTAAGTTTTAATAATTTAATTGCGATCAAATAATAAATAAACTAGTATTAATAAATTAGTAATAAAATTTAAATAATATAAGAAATAAGACTAACAAAAATTTTAACATCAAACTAAAACTAAAATATATTTTATTTTTGAAGTATATACACACGTTTAGTTATACTACTTTTATTGGGTTTGGATTGATTTTCTAAATTTTTAACAGTTTTTCTTTTTAAAGTTAGTTATATAATTTATTTGAACTGAAAGTGGATGTAGCTAAATCCATACCAAATTTCAAAACATAGGCAAAAAGGCACATTTATTGCTAGAATTGGGTAAACTCCCAACTTGCTAACTGAATTTTGCCAACACTATTATTTTAATCCCTGAATTTAATGGAACAAAAAAATAGCATGTTATAATATATGTCATTTTTGTTATTCCTTTTGTTAAGTCTTCTCTAGTCATTAACTTTAATAGAGTATTTTATATGGCATGTTAAGTGTTTGTATGACAATGTATGTCACGTTTCTATAATTCATGTGCACACTCGCATAGTCTATATGTACAATGACAACTTTGAAGAGTTTAAAACTAGATGTAAACAATCATGAACTCTTCGATTTAGTCCCGAAATTTAACAACAACAAAAATAGTTTCTAAATTTGTTTTTTTTATCATCCACATTAACCTCAACGGTAATTCATGTTTGTTATCTTTAACGGAGTGTTTAGTTGGCACCTTAAGGATGTTTAGTTGACACCTTAAGTGCCTTTTCAGCTTTGATTATTGGCCATTTACTTGACAATTTGTCAGCAAAATGTAAAATAGTCACAATTGCATAAAAAGGTATTTCTCTATTCATATTTTTATTGATGCTTGTTGTAAATGGTTGGTACTCCTTGTACGGTTGTACCTATAAAAAAGATTGCATTTGTTGTATACATGAGAAATAACCTTTTGTTAGAGTCATTAGCTAGTAACAAAAAAATTGCACCTTTATATATGCCTCTACTTTTATGCTACTTATAATTACTATCTTTATCTTTGGTGGGTTAAAAAAGCTATAGAACTCATAGGAGTTTCCAAATTAGAATGACGAAAAAATTTTAAAACTCACCTTATAAGTTTTCATGGTCACATTTCTACTTTTCTATCCAATGTTGACTACTCAAATTGTAAAAAATGGAATTCCATGGTGAATGACTTTATCGCATGTCAAATTGAGATCATCACCGTGTTTAGTGAAGACGAGGAACACAATCCAACATGACAATGGTTGTCCATTTTGAGTGTGTTTGGGACTTTGGAGAGAATAAAATCTCCCACTTCAATTAGTTTTCTTTTTTGTTAAAAAAAATAATGTGATTAAGACAATAACTTAAATTTGTAAACAGATTTTTTTTTCCAAAAAAAATAAGTTATTTTATGAAATTAAAAATTTGAAATTTATGATTACTTCTCAAC